AGCCTCTCTATTTCCTCCTCAGTCCACTCCTTTTTGTTGATGCTTGGATGCTCCCAATTTTCCCAGAACTTCTTCAGTTCTTCTGCACTACGTTGCCCATCAAACTGAAAGAAACAACAAAAATCTGTTTCATCTTAAAGCTGGGACTGAAACAGCAGGACAGACAGGAACACCAATATTTCGCATTCCAGATATCTTATTGCCAGGTTTTTCAGAATTAAACCATCACATTTAACAACCTGAGATCAAATTGACAGTCAACCTGGAGAAATGCACAATGGAAACAGTGGATGCAAACCAAGCCAGGAGATTCTCAAGAGAGAAGGGACACAGATATCAGAAGCCATAAAACAGCTGATCCTCCAACTTACATGGATGTTTGAGATTTTCTCCCAGTCGTGCTCATCGAATCTGTTTCCTAACAAGTCACTTTCTGGCAGTTGGCTACAGCAGAAGGTAAAAAGAACAAGAAAGAACCGTGTTAAATGGTTAATTAAACACTTTGTCTTCTTGATCCTGCTTCATTTTTTTCCTCCCACCTGTTCCTGACTTCCACAAGAACTGAACACTTGGTTTAGTAGGAGAAACAATTAATGTAATATCCAAATATGCTGCTTTAGACACGTTCGTGAGCAAAAGCTCAAAGGTACTAAACATCTCAGAACTCTCTGCTCCTTTGTTGTTACACCAAGAGCTATCTAAAGCAGCACCTCTACAATGGATATAGATACTAAATTTTGTGTATCAAGGCCCAAAACAAAATTTCTAGTAAAGAACTGTGGGGATGAAGGAGCTGCTCAACATCACTTCATTTTTTACAAGCCAACACAAACAAGCATTTCTCCAAACATCGCATCTAGAAGTAGAATAAGAGAGCTATAAAAGCTAAATTCCAAGAAGAGACATTTATTTTTCACCAAGAACATAAAAAGACTTACTTAATTGCTTCTATTTCTCGCTCCACTTCTTTGATTTGCTTTTCCAAGGTCTGTTTTTCCGTTTCAGTCTTGACCTTCTCCAGTTTCTGATTCCAATAACTCATCCTGTTCAAAGACGTTTTTATCATTACTTAATAGGACTAGATGGGAATGAGGTCAATGGTATAAGAAGATATTCAGCAGAGACAGTTTCCCCATCAGTACCATTCCTTCCTTCAGTTTATTTCCACACAAAACTGCTGTTCTCCCAGTCTTCCCACATGGCACACGCATTGTCCTATTTTTACCCCTTCAATACAGTCACTGACCCAGAACATGTCTCAAATTAACCATTTTAGTATTTACAAGGGGAACCAATGGTTGCTACAACAGCAATAAAGACTGTACCAGCTCCAGCACAGAAATCTCCCTCTGGACACACCATTATGACTCACTACATGTCACCATTCCAGCTTCAAGCCCTGCAGACTATTTTAAATTATATCGCTGTTTCAACGGGAAGAAATAGATGGCTGTAAAATCACACACACAGTTAACACAGGAACTTGCTGAAGGAGGTGGAATCTCCACATCTACCTTCTCCTTCTTTCACATGTAACATTCTCAGGAGAATAGAGGGGGTTTGTCAGTACTCACTTCAGGAGCTTTGGCTGGAGCAGGCGTTGCAAGCGGTCGCTCACCACTGATTTCTGCAGCAGCGTCTTCTCCCTGCTCTTCCCTGAACCAAACAGTGGAGCAGTCAGACATCAGTGCAGAACCACTGCCAAGAGAGACCCACTGCTTCCAACATCCCTGGAAACATCCCCCAGGTCTGCAATAGGACTTGCCTGCCTACATCACTGATGTCACGTCTGACTTGGGCAAATCACAGCCCCTCACTCGGTTTTATCTCCAACAAAACCTCAGTCAAGATCATCATCAAGGTGCCTGTGACCACCTAGAGCTGGAGGTGCCCCCTGAACTTCTCTCTACCCTTGCACCATGGTTTTGGAGTGCTCACAGGAGTTGATGCATCAAACCAAATGCAAATAAGTCACTAATCACTCAATAAAACAATTTACAGAGCATCCCATTCTCTTTTAATTACATTTTTCGTGGAGTCAAGTTTGCAACATCACAAATGTTGATGTTTAACTGCAAATGGCACACACATACTAACAATATGAATATATACATTTGTTATAGCTCTTCTAGAACACTGAACAGCCCACAGAGTTACTCACACTTTGCTGAATGCAGTTGTTCAAAGGATTTTATGCCCTGAGCTGCCTTTTCCTTGGCATCTTCATTGGAAGGAGGGCCCTGGTGAGGATTAGAAGGATTAGATACACTGGAAGAGTCAGACAAGCAGAAAAATTATTCTTTCTCCCTAGAACTTGAGCATGAACTGCTACAAAAACAGTTACAATGCAAATCTATCACTGAAGACACAGTTACAGTTACTTACAATTCCTGTGGTTTTATCCTTAAAGTAAGGCTTCATAAAGTGACCCAAAAATACATTTGCTGGTAGACTTCTGCCATCTCCTGCCTTGGCTGTTTTTGAACCATCAAGCTCACCCATGATTTCCTTCTGCAAGCCAAGAGTTAATTAAACAGTGTCAGTGTCTCCTTCAAACTCCTGATTTCAGAGAACAGTGGCTGAGCCACCACAAACATCCCAGGCAGGGTTCAAGTTTGCAGCACGAGATTGTAAATCAGTGAATCTTAAAGGGCAGAATTTGGAACTTCCTGACTTTGCACAGTGCAATGCAGGTGATTCAAACATTAATAAAATACTAATTTGCCAAAGCAAGCTAAAGTGTAAGATGTAAAATACTCATTTTTGGTTGTAAGAAACCATGGAAACTTCAGTCAAATAAACCACCTGAAAAGCCACTCAGTGACACTGGTTTGAACTGCCAGGAAGAAAATGCACCTGGTTCCTGGCCAAGCCAGCTGAGCACTGCACCAGCACATGGATAAGGGACTGTGACTGCTCCAGCTGATTCCTCTGGCACCTGTGATACACTAGGAATATCCTGGGAAGTCTTACTAGGCTTGAAGGGAGGGGAAGATGGCAAATGGCAATCTAGAAAAGCACAGAAATGAACATTTCCCTCCTGTGCTGCTCACCTGCTGCTCTCTGTTTTGTGCAATGAGCAGCTCCACTTCCTCAATCTTTTCCTGGATAACCTCCTGGTACACATGGTTCATCTGCAGGCACGTTTCTGGATCCTGTGGCAGGCTCTCAATATCATCATCACTGCTGTCTTCTTCTCTTTCCATTTCCTTGAGGCATTTAAGGGGAAAAGGGAAAGAAACACTTGCTTTAAAGGCAGCTATGTAACATAATTAATTTTCTAATCTAACACCTGTTTGACCCACAGCCTGTGGTGTTTCCAGGAACAGGGATCAGCAGCACCAGAGCAGTGAGGCCTCTGCCCCCTGTCACTTGTGGTCACTTGAAGAAATCCGTGTATTACACTGAATAACAAAGTCCTGGGCAGGAATCTCCAAACTCCAGGGCTGGTATTAACCCTTCCTGAGCACAGAGCCAAGGCAGCTGCCTGGATTTCCCCATTTTTCCTTCAACAGACAGATGGAAAGATACATTTAAAGAGAAAATATTTACCATTTCACCATGAGAATCTTCATTATCATCTTCATTATTATCATCATCATCATCTTCATCATCATCATCTGTTGGACAACAAAAATACAGAAGTGCTGATTATAGTGGGATAAAAGGAAAGCTTCAAACCCAAAACATTTCAATAAAGAATAAAGCATCACAGAGAACCCAGACATGGCAATTAGTGGCTTTGGATACTGACAACATTGTCAAGTAAAGTTGTATTTAGTTACACTCCACATAGGTGTTTTTTTCATTCTAGAGTAGGAAAAAAGAGCAGCTCTGGATAACTAAGGTAGAGAAAACTAAAGCAATAATCCAGCTACATCCTGGTCCTGCACACAGCAGCAAATGAGAGGCCAAAGGGTGGGCAGCCAAGTGAACATTCCAAGCCAACAGAAACACAGACTCTGAGAGCACCAACAGGCCCCTCAGCAACACCTGGGTTTGCACCCAGCGGTACCGACTCCTGACAGAAGTTATTCAGACTTGCACCACCAAAACAGAGGTGGGTGAAGCCACTACGGACAGAGATGCTCGAGCTGCTACCACCTCCCCTTTGCTTTAGAAAACGAACTTTAGGCGGCGCGGGCGGGCTGTGGGATGGGTTTGTGATGCCCCTTCACACAGGGTTTGTGATGCCCCTTCAGATGCTGTGGTTTCACTCCGGGAAGTATTTTTGGGCTGTTTGGTGTCGTGAGCCCGCCCGTACCCAGTGACCAGAACCGACCAGACCCCTCCGTCAGGGAGCTCTCAGCCGGCTCCGGGGGTTTCACCACGAGAACACGGCCCACGCCGGTGCGGCAGCTCCTGGGCCACCGCTCCGAGCCCCCCCGAGCCCGTACCGCTACCGGAGCTGAGGCTGCAGTCGGACACGGCCAGCTCGACGCCGACCCCGCCGGGCTCCAGGCTGCGCTCCAGCTCCTCGATCTCGCGGCGGATCCTCTCCCGCTCGGCGTCCAGGTCGAGCCCCGGGGGGTTCCGAGGGGTCCGCGAGGGCCCGGCCGGGCCCGGCCCGCGGGACATGGCGGGGCCGCCGCTCCGCGCTGGGGCTGCGCCTGGCCCCGCCCCCCGCGCCTCTGACCAATCGCCGCGGGTTCCCGGGTCAGCTGGGCTCCCACGTGACGCCGCGCAGCCAATCGGGACAGGGCTCGGCACACGTGGGGCGGCACCGGGCCCTGCAGGGACCGAGACCCACCGGGGGTTTGGTGGGACCGGGATCGGGACCGGGATTGGGACCGGGATCCGACCCACAGCCCCTTCGCCTGCCGCGGCACGAGGAGCCCCAGCTGAACGCCGAGGTGCTCGCGGAGGAGGGGCAGTGCTCCCAGCCCCGCGGGAACAGGGATGCGCTCCTGTCCCTTCGAGATTTAGCGATCCATCGGCTGCGCGGGGCGGAGGGCTGGGGACGCCAGCTCTGCAGCTTCGAGCATCGATACGAGGCCGAGTATCAAAAATTCGCTTTTTAGTAATGGTTACTAAATGAAAGCAAAGTCCTCCGTGGTGTCTGAGTCACTCACTGTCCATCCTCTGACACCTCGGAAATTCTGTCGATGGATTTCAGGAGATCAGCGACGAGCTGCAGGGATTCTGCTCCAGAGAGGAGCTGCCTGGAAGGGGAGAGACACAGGGTTACATGGGGGGGACCAGAGAATTCATGGGCAGTTTGGGGGGATTTGCCCACTCTGTGACCTATCAAGCAACAGCTTATCAAGACTGGAACCTTCACTTCTTAAAGTGAAGTGTAAGAGACTTAGAGACTCCCACGTCCCAGTTATTTTTTCATTTTACCTACATTTTATTTCCAGTTATTTTTATTTTACCTACACTTGGAGGAAAACACACTGAAGGGGAATAAGAACATGGAGTAGCTCATCTAGCACACAAAACACAAAAACCTGAGATTCAGTGTTAAAAAAATGGAGGAGGAGGTTTATTTGTGAGCCCAGGATTTAGCCCAGAGCCTGGGATGGCCTCAGGAGAGGTGTCTCACCTGATGGATGCTCGGGAGCTGGTTGTGACCCTGAGCAGGTGCTGCAGGGCCAGCTCTGCATTCTGCTTTGCTGCTGCCAGCCCTGCCTGTCCCAGCTGCAGGGCCTCGTTCTCTGCCTTGTAATTCCTCAGCTGGACCTGGGGGGGAAACAGGCAAAAATTAGGATAAATAGCCACAAAACTCCAGTGGATACCTTACAACTAATGAACGTGTTCACACAGCTATTTATGTTTATGTCATTGTAATAAAACCACTCACACAAAGGTAGTGAAAAGAATAAAAGGATGCAATAAATAGCAACTAGATCCCAACACCAGACTGCCAGGAGGGAATGCCTTCCCAGAATCCCAGAATCATTAGGGTTGAAACAGGCCTCTGGAGATCATCCAGTCCAAGGCAGGGTGACCCAGAGCAGGTGACACAGGAATGCATCTGGAACATCTCCAGAGAGGGAAAATCCATGACTTCCCTGGACAGCTGTTCCAGTGCTCTGCCACCTTCCATGGAAAGAAGCTCTTCTTCATGCTGAGGTGGAACTTGTTATGTTTTAATTTATGGCCATTGCTCCTCATCCTGTCACTGGGCACCACTGAAAAGCGTGGCACCATCCAGGTCTTCCCAGCCTCTGGCAGGGCACCACAACTGGACCTGAGAACACCCTCAGTATTTTCCCAATGGCCTGCAAAAATCTTGCAATATCCTCTTCAGAGGCTCAATTCCAAGACATATCCCTGCAGCCCCAGTTCCCCAGCCAGGCCCCAGGAATGCTGCTCCATACCTGGAGCAGGGTGTTCTCCTGTCTCAGTTTGGCAGCGCTGTTCTCAGCTTTAACAGCCCGTTTCTGAAACACAACAAAGATTATTTACACCACAGAGGATACAGCAGCAGCTTGGGCCACACAGGAATGAGTGATTCCAGCACAGAACTTGCAGGGATATAGTTTGTGTTTGCCCATCCCGTGTTCCAAATGCTTTAGGAGGTGGGAACAGCTCATTCCTCCCCTCCCCATTTCTCCTTTCTGGGATCTGCAGGTGCCACCCAGCACTTCTGGATGTTATTTATTCTTTTTTTTTTTTGGACAAGAGGAAAAGACACTCAGTATAAATAAGCAAAGAGAAAAAACAGTTCAGAGTTCACGCAGGATGTGTTGTCAGAAGGCTGCAAAAAAGCAACTTCAGTTGGTGAATACAGAAATTATATTAAAGCAAAGACCTGCCTTACTCTAAGGAAAAAAAAGGAGTTCTGGTCTGGGATGCTGTCTTGTTCCAAGGGAAAAGTTTGAACCCATCAGAGCTGTTTGGGTGAAGCAATCACTTCAGCTTCCCTCCCTCTCCTGGGAAAAGAGGAAAAGGGATGGAACCACAGTTCCAACTGCAAACACCAACACTTACAGTCATCAGCTGGAGATTTTGCTCCACATGCTGCACCATTGCTTCCAGATCCTGTGTTTCTTTTTCTTCTTTGATTTTGTTTTCCTCAAGCTTTTTCTCAAGCTTCCTCATCCTTAAAAAAAGAGATGTACAGTAAGTGCTTGTAACGTTAAATACTTTAGGAAGAAAATTCTAGGGATAAAGTAAGGATCAAGAAACTCATTCTTTTATAAGAAAAATTAGTTCTTCCCACAGAGCTCCAGTTCTAGGCTGTGGCTCAGGGGATTTCTCTGTTCCACATCCATCAGATTCAGACCTGAAGAAACTGCCACCCCTGCTGGGTCACCGGGTTGTTTAACCTTAGGAAATTCAGGTCTCCCAGGTTGCTCACCAGCAAAAATAAAATGTTCTTTTTGCTTCAAAGGAAAGAGATGAATATTCACTATTTTGTTAATCTGAAGCTTTCTGAAATGCATCCTGTTGAGCCCTGCCCTTGTTCTCACCCACCACCTGCACTGCACGAAGCACAGGCCACACAAACACATCAGATGTCAGCTGGCTACCTGGTTTCCAAGACTTTTCCAATAAGAAAACCAGGTTTGCTAATGTTTTTTTTAATAAATAGCATAGCTTTCAACTACATTTTGATTCTTTAAGGACACTGTTCCTAGTGAGCCCCTCTTTTAAGCCAACTCCTTGGGTGGTTATTTCCCCCACACTGTGTCTTACGCACTTGTCTGCTTGGGTTTCAGAGAGAATTTGAAGTTTACTGATCTTGCTTCTCAGAGTGGCATTCTCTTCTTTCAGCTAAAAAAGGAAACATTCTCATTAGGATTGAGGGTGCTGTTTCACAACACTACAAACACTCCAACACCAAAATATTCAGCTTTAATGCTGGGAATTCTTGCACTTTCTAATACATTCATTTTGCACCCAGTTTCCCTCTCTGGAAAACACTTCACTGACCCCACGGGGCACAGGAGGGTGGCACTGTGCAACCCGTGGAAGATGTGACTAATTAAACACTGCCAATTCTAAATTAACGTGACCTCCAGAGGCAGGAGCACGAGGAAGTCACCTGGGTCATACCCAGAGCAGAAGGGCAGGGAAGGCGGTGGACCTGATTCATGCTGAAAAGCGCTTTTCCAGACCTGCCTCTCTGCCTCAGCTGCTCTTCAGACAGCGGGCTGTGACACCGAGTCCTGCAACCAGCGGACACCCAGCCCAGGGCTCGCCCGGCAGCGAAGGTGCCGAGGGGCGGGCAGCGCTCACCTGCTCGTAGCTGGGCTGCCGTGAGGGAGCACAGCCCGGGCCCGGGGGGGAGCCGTGGGCGGCCAAGCAGAAGGAGCCGGCGGAGGGCGAGGCGGGTCCGGCGGCAGCGAGGTGGGCCCGTTCCACGGCCAGCGGCTGGTAGCTCTCGCTCCACTCCTCCTCCTCTTCCTCCTCCTCCTCCTCCTCCTCCTCTTCCTCACCCCCCACCTCTGTGGGCATTGCGGGAAGCGGGAGCGCGACGGGCCCGGGCGGCGCCGCCTGCGCAGGGGAGAGCAGGGCTGAGGCGGGCGCTGAGGCAGGGCGGGACCCAGCCGCGCCGCCGCCGAGGGCCTTACCTGGGGGGCTTCGCCCGCCCCGCCGCCGCGGGCCTTGGTGCGGACGAACTCTCGGAAGGAGAAGGGGTTGGGCTCGGCCGGGAGCGGCCCCGGCAGCGGCTCCGCCGCCATGGCAGCCTGAGGGCTCCGCGGGGCGGGGCCTCCTCAGAGGGGCGGGGCCTCCCCAGCGGGATGGGCCACTCAGCGAGCGAGCGTCAGGGTCGGCCCCGCCCCCTTCCCCTCGCGGCCCCGCCCACGTGACCCGGCGGTCCCGGGTGGCGGCAAGATGGCGGCGGCCATGGCGTGGCTGCGGCGCGGAGCCCGCGGGGCGGCTCGGCGGTGAGCGCGGCCCTGGGGGCACCGGGCTGGGCGGGGAACGGCGCTGGGGAACGCGGGGGGACCGTCCGGGGAGGGGACAGCGCCCAGCACCGCGGGGGAAGGCGGGCAGCGCTGGGTGTCGGCCTTGGGGGAGGCGCTGCCGGCGCGGTGCCCCCGCACATCCCGACGATGTCCCCGGTGTCCCCAGGTGCGGGCTGGCGGCCGGGCGGAGCTACAGCGGCGGCGGAGCCTACCCTAGCGTGTCGCTGACGTGCCCGCTGCCCGGCGTGCCCAAGGCCGTGTTCGCGGCCGCCGAGGGCCGGGAGCGCTTCGAGACGAGGGTGACGGTGCTGGAGAACGGGCTGCGCGTCGCCTCCCAGAACAAGTTCGGGCAGTTCTGCACCGTGGGCAGTGAGTACCCGGAGGGGCCAGGGGTGGTGAGACCATGGCTCCCCCGGAGCCGGGTGTCTGTGTAAGGACCGGAGGTGTAAAAATTACACTGATTTATTCTCTTCTTAACGCCAGTTCTTGTGAATTCGGGATCAAGACACGAAGCAAAATACCTCAGTGGTATCTCCCACTTCTTGGAAAAGCTGGCCTTCTCTGTGAGTACTGCCCTGCCCAGCACGGGGTCCTGAGCACCCGAAATCTGCACTGGGAAGGGAGGGGCAGCAACCAAGGGCAGGGCTCTGTGCACTTGAACTGTTTAAATAATGTTGACAGTATTCCCAGAATGATAGAACCACAGAATGGTTTGGGTTGGACAGGACCTTAAAGACCATCCAGTTCCACTCCCTGTCTTGGGCAGAGACACCTTCCACTATCCCAGGTTGCTCCAAGCCCTGTCCAGCCTTGGACACTTTCAGGGCTGGGACAGCCACAGCTTCTCTGGGCAACCTGTGCCTCACCACCCTCACAGGGAACAAATTCCTTCCCAATGTCCCATCTAATCCTGCCTTCTTTCAGTTTGAAGCCATTCTCCCTTGTCCTGTCATTCCAGACTCGTCACAAGTCTCTCTCCATTTTTCTTGTAGGCTTCCATCAGGTACTGAAAGGCCAAAATTAGGTCACCCAAATCTCTTCTCCAGGCTGAACAATCCCATCTCTCTCAGCCTTTCCTTATAGGAGAGGTACTCTATCCCTTTAATCATCCCTCTTAATTCCCACTTAATTATTGTGCCCATTATTACATTTTGAAAGCCTGTTGTGCTTTTATCTCCAAGGTCAGTGAGTATTGATGAAACCACTTGACTAAAAGAATGTAGAAGATGCTTGTTCTGGGCTACACTGAAGGGTTATAAAAAGTTATTGCTTTAATAATTAATAACACTGGTATTTTTTTTCTTAGTCCACAGCTCAGTTTGGCAGCAAGGATGAAATTCTCCTCACCTTGGAGAAGCACGGGGGCATTTGTGACTGCCAGGCATCGAGGTGGGATCTCCTTCTCCTGCTCTTATATAACACTGACAAACACTTTGAGTTCCTTTTTCTGGTGTGGGGCAGTAAAAGCCACTTTTTGTTTCCAAGCAGCAGAAATCCATTTGTGGTGGCTGCTGGGAAGCTACAAAACTGAACCTGAACAGGTTATAAAAGTCAGTTCTGTTTCCTTTCAAAAGCATTTAACGAGTGAAGCAGCTTTACCTGTGATTTCCTGATACTGAAATGGCACTGAATGATCCCAGAAGTGAGTTCTCAGTGCAGAACTGTCTGTCTGTGTTGCAGGGACACCATCATGTATGCTGTGTCTGCTGATGCCAGAGGCCTGGACACCGTGGTCAACCTGCTGGCCGACGTAGCGCTGCAGCCCAGGTTATCAGGTCTGGGAACACAATTCTCTGCCTCTAAATAAGATCTCCAACATGTGGCTTGCTCTTAGAATTCTCCACCACATTGTGCTCATCAAGAACTTCCCTTGCAGCAGTTGGGGGTTGTCATCTCTTGCTCTCTGTCCCGTTCCAGATGAGGAGATCGAGATGACCCGCACGGCCATACGGTTTGAGCTGGAGGACTTGAACATGAGGCCTGACCCAGAGCCTCTGCTCACTGAGATGATCCATGCGGTAACACACTGAAAATTCCACCTTGCATGCAGTCCCCTGCATTCTTCTCATTTTTCTGTCAACTCCAGGGTTTATTTTACGTTATTCTAAAACCAGGTTATTTTGTTACTCGATTCGATTTCAGTGGTGGGAGAATTTTGCTGTCCCTCCACTCTGAAATCCAGCATTCTACACTTGTGAAAGATTCTAACCTAAACTAAAAAAAAAACTATCTGCAACTTAACCTTTGTTGATGTGGGTGACAGTGTGTTGTTGATTAATGAAATAATGCTCAGCTTTTGCTCTTTTACATGTCTCAACCAGGTCGGCTGAATTCCAAAACAGAAAGGGGAGGTTTAGATGAGGGCTTTAGGGGAGTGAGGTGATAGTTGTTACTTGAATGTGTCTGCTCCCTTTCAGGCAGCCTTCAGAGACAACACAGTTGGACTGAACAGGTTCTGCCCCGTGGAGAACACGGACAAAATCGATCGGGCCGTGCTGCACTCGTACCTGCGCAGCTACTACACCCCTGACAGGATGGTGCTGGCTGGGGTGGGCATCGAGCACGAGCAGCTGGTGGAGTGTGCCAGGAAATACCTGCTGGGAGTGGAGCCCGTGTGGGGCACTGGGCAGAGCAGGGGCGTGGACAGGTCCATGGCTCAGTACACGGGAGGCATCGTCAAGGTAAGGGGTGAAGGGGTGCAGGTGGTGTCGTGCCCCTCTGCTGTCGGTTGGCAGGGCAGATTTGGAGTTGAGCTTGGTTTTTGCTTTTCTGAAGTTACATACTGTTCATGAGTATGAGCCAAAAGTAGCTGTGACAGCTGGTAATTGGGTGACATGTTAATTATTAGGAATGTATCAAGCTGGATGCAACAGCAGTGAAAATCAGTCTTAATAACCTGTCTGCTCTTCCCACAGGTTGAAAAAGACATGTCAGATGTGAGTCTGGGCCCTACTCCCATCCCAGAGCTCACCCACATCATGATTGGGTTAGAAAGCTGCTCATTTTTAGTAAGTATTAACCTAAAGTCCCTTGTTTTGGAAGCCCTGTACTTCAAGAATCCCAGAACAGTGACTCATTACAGAAACATTGTCACTCTTGCTGCTGCATGCTCAGACAAGCAGCTTTTCCACTGACAGTCTGATGCAGGCACTGACCTTCCCACTCTTCTTGTGCCATGTTTCTTTCTTTCCCTCCCCTTTACTGACCCCAGACCCTTGAGAGCTCTGCCATGATCCGACTGAATTTCTTGTTGCAATTCAGGAGGACGATTTCATTCCCTTTGCGGTGCTAAACATGATGATGGGAGGTGGTGGCTCCTTCTCAGCTGGAGGGCCTGGCAAGGGCATGTTCACCCGACTGTACCTCAACGTGCTCAACAGGTTGGTTTGCCTTTTAAGGGGTGGCAGAAACAGTCCTCCAGCAGGTTCATATGGAAAAAATGAAAGCAAACATCACCAGGTTATTCTGCTTGAAGCATGGGACTGGTTTGTCAGTTGGCATTTTGAGAGGGTAAAAGCATTGGCACTGCTGAGAATCCTGAAGTGCACTGGGAGGGCACTCACTGTCCATGTTTGTTAAATTTTTATATGTAAGTTTTGGGTTTTAAATTTGAAAATGCTGTTTGTATACCCACAGGCACCACTGGATGTACAATGCAACCTCTTACCACCACAGTTACGAGGACACAGGTCTCCTGTGTATCCATGCCAGTGCAGATCCCAAACAGGTACAGAGTCCTGTATTCAAAGACAGGTGTCCTTAAAAAGTAACCACATCCCTCAGTACCAGACAGTAATGTTGACACAACAAGTGTTGTTCTGATCTTCTTTCAATGATCTGTTTTCCGTAGGTTCGGGAGATGGTGGAAATCATCACCAGAGAATTCATCCTCATGGCAGGAGCAGTGGGAGAGGTCAGTAGCACATTTGAACTTGCAGGTGGTCTGAGTTGAAATAATCCCTGGAATTGTTCAAGGCCAGGTTGGATGGGGCTTGGAGCAACCTGGGGTTGCTCCAAGGGAAAAGTGTCCCTGCCCATGGCAGGGGGCTCGAAAGAGATGAGCCTTAAGGTCCTTTCCAAGCAAACCATCCTGGGATTCCGTGAACACACTTTAGAACTCTTCCATGTTATCTTCTGTTAGAGAGCAGCCACCAGAATTTTTGGAACATTATTTGTATTTCCTGCTCCTTCACAGGTAGAACTCGAGCGAGCGAAGACGCAGCTCAAGTCCATGCTCATGATGAACCTCGAGTCTAGGCCAGTGATCTTTGAGGATGTGGGAAGGCAGGTGTTGGCCACCAACACAAGGAAGCTACCTCATGAGCTCTGTGCCCTCATCAGTGAGTATACAGTGCCTTGCCTTGAGTGAACTGTAGGTACAGTCGGGGCAGGACAACTTAGAGCATATTCTTGCAGCACAGCTGAATTGCCTGAGAAAGCCTGGGGGCATAAATACTGCACAAATACATTTCAAACTGTTCTTGATTGCTTTCAAGGTAGCACAGGGCTTTTTCAGTCAGAAGGAAGGGAAAACCAGAAGCATGGAAGAAAAGAGTCAGTGATTGTTTTTCTGAGTATTATTCTACTTACGGTGTTGTCACGGCTCTGCCTTTTTTTTTTTGCCTGCAGGTCAGGTGAAACCTACTGATATCAAGAGGGTGGTCACTAAGATGCTCCACAAGAAGCCAGCTGTGGCTGCCCTGGGTGACCTGACAGACCTGCCCTCCTATGAGCACATCCAGGCAGCGCTTTCCAGCAAGGACGGGCGGCTGCCGCGGCTGTACCGGCTCTTCC